GGCTGCGCTTCCTCAATAAAACCATGTTTCAAACAGGTGGAGCTAGGAGTTACGGTTCTTGCCACAGCCCCAGGCCAGCCAGCAGAAGGATGGGTCACTCTGTACCAGCAGTTCACCACCAGGGTGATTTTGTCCCCTAGAGGCTATTTTGCAATGTCTGGAGACTTTTTTGTTGCTGCCGGCACAATCTGGGGAAGGACGTAAGTGCGAATCACATCGAGTAAGCTGAGGCCCACTGCTCCACATCCTGCAATGCACAGTACAGCCCCCACAACAATCACCTTGCTCAGACTGAAAATCCCTGGACTATGCCAGGTCAGCAACATCCTAGTAACAGGCAGTCTTCCCCCAACACTAAAAATGCTCAAATGTCTGGCAACCCAGCTCAAACAGATGTGGGAGAGATGTGACTGCCCTGAGGGCAGGAAGAAGGGCAGAGAGTGATAAGGGAACTAGCTGTTCTCCTGACCAAATCCTGGCTTAGCTGAGTAAGACCTCTGTCCGTGGGGAAACCTGGCAAGTCCAGGGCACACTAACCACCACCACATGTCAATATTTTTTAACACAACCTGCATATATACACAGTTTCTTTTTCAGGTCAGTTCCATCAAAGCAGCCACATTTTTTAAAGCACTAATTGTGTAGGTCTCAAAAGTGTCAATAAACGCAGGTATTTAATAACAGAAGGAGGAGGAGGACTAGGAGGAAGCCTGTGTTTTTATTAGGTAAAGAAGTCCTAATTCTTCTGGAGTTTGAATAGTAATCTCCACTTCCCTGGTGATTCTTAGAGAAGTCTCCACTCACAGTCCCTTTGGAATCTGCCGGGGTTCCTTCCTAACACTCCTAAAAGAGGTACAGACTTTTCGTGATAACTGACAATACTCAGTGTGTTAAGAATCTAGAGACCAAAACCACAGATCTAATAACTGTAAAAGAAAAATGGGCACAAATGGCAGAAAAAATAACGTTTTCTGATTTAAAACAAACTTCAAAAGCCCTATGTAAACAAGAAAGCAAACTTCAAAAGCTATATGTAAAAGTAGTTAAGATTTGATTCTCTAAATAAAACTAATTGCGGACAGGCTTTTACAACAGCTACTTACTTATTCTTAATTCAAAAAGCTAGTTACTTATTATCTAATTCAGGGGTCAGCATACTTAAAGGGCCAGGTAGCAAATATTTTAGGCTTTGTGGACCAAGAGGCAAAATAGAGGATATTACATATGTACTTTTGTAATCCTTTCAAATGTAATCATTTTAAAAGGTTAAAAAACATTCTTAGCTCCCAGGCCATTAAAAAAAATTATAATAATAAATGCTGCAGGACACTTTTGGCCCATAGTCTATACTTTGTCAATTCTTGATCTAAAAGCGTAGCAAGGCTTTGTAATTTTTACTCTTGAAGTCGCACTCACCTTTCTCTTTTTTCTACAAACTACTTATACAGAATTATACTTTTCCTTTTGTGAGAATTTAATTCATTCTTATGTGTAATAGCTGCTGTAACCGTAGCCACTCCTAAGAATCACCCACTAGCAGTTCACATTGCCTTTTTAACACTCTATCCAAAACATTGAAGAGACCCCTCAACCTACATGCCAAACTGGAAACCCAAAGAAAGCAGCCCTTTCACATCCAAGCCAAGGTAGATAGGAAAGTAGATTTTGCTTTTAAAATTAGAAAGTAGATTTTGCTTTTCAAATTAGAAGAGCAAGAAAATGCACATGTCTTAGGAATTATAAATACAATTTCTGTGTCTCACAATTGACACAGAAAGAAACCCAAAATACTCAACAAAAACTAGATAAAAAGTAATGTTGGTTTTGGGAGACAAAGCATTTCTTTTTGGCAGTGAGATAAGAATACATAGACAAGGACTTCACGACCAAAACACCAAAAGCATTGGCAACAAAAGCCAAAATAGACAAATGGGACCTAATCAAACTCCACAGCTTCTGCACAGCAAAAGAAACAGTCATTAGAGTGAACTGGCAACCAACAGAATGGGAAAAAATTTTTGCAATCTACCCATCTGACAAGGGGCTGACATTAAGAATCTACAAAGAACTAAAACAGATTTACAAGAAAAAAACAAGCCCATTCAAAAGTGGGCAAAGGATATGAACAGACACTTTACAAAAGAAGACATACATGAGGCCAACAAACATATGAAAAAATGCTCATCATCACTGGTCATTAGAGAAATGCAAATCAAAACTACACTGAGATACCATCTCACACCAGTTAGAATGGCGATCATTAAAAAATCTGGAGACAACCGATGCTGGAGAGGATGTGGAGAAACAGGAACACTTTTACACTGTTGGTGGGAGTGTAAATTAGTTCAACCATTGTGGAAGACGGTGTGGTGATTCCTCAAGGACCTAGAAATAGAAATTTCATTTGACCCAGCAATCCCACTACAGGGTATATATCCAAAGGATTATAAGTTGTTCTACTATAAGGCCATATGCACATGAATGTTCATTGCAGCACTGTTTACAATAGCAAAGACCTGGAACAAAGCCCAAATGGCCATCGATGATAGACTGGACAGGGAAAATGTGGCACATATACACCATGGAACATTATGCAGCCATCAAAAACATGAGTTCATGTCCTCTGTAGGGACATGGATGAACCTGGAAACCGTCATCTCAGCAAACTGACACAAGAGCAGAAAATCAAACACCGCATGTTCTTGCTCACAGGTGGGTGTTGAACAATGAGAACACATGGACACAGGAAGGGGAGCATCACACGCTGGGGTCTGTTGGGGAAAAATAGAGGAGGGACAGCGGGGGAGTGGGGAGTTGGGGAGAGATAGCATGGGGAGAAATGCCAGAACTAGGTGAAGGGGAGGAAGGCAACAAATCACACCGCCATGTGTGTACCTATGCAACAATCTTGCATGTTCTTCACATGTACCCCAAAACCTAAAATGCAATAAAAAATAAAAAAATAAGAATGAATTTTTTTTTTTTTTTTGAGACGGAGTTTCGCTCTTGTTACCCAGGCTGGAGTGCAATGGCGTGATCTCGGCTCACCGCAACCTCCGCCTCCTGGGTTCAGGCAATTCTCCTGCCTCAGCCTCCTGAGTAGCTGGGATTACAGGCGCGCACCACCATGCCCAGCTAATTTTTTTGTATTTTTAGTAGAGACGGGGTTTCACCATGTTGACCAGGATGGTCTCGATCTCTTGACCTCGTGATCCACCAGCCTCGGCCTCCCAAAGTGCTGGGATTACAAGCTTGAGCCACCGCGCCCGGCCAGAATGAATTTTTTAAAAAATTGTAACATAAAGCTAACTTTGATGAAATGGGAAAGGTCTGATTCTAAGTGCCACCCATTTGTCCTTATTCTCTGCTCATAAAAATCCACCTATTTGTGAAGCATTTATGGAGGGCCAGGTGCTTTCATTTTCATGAGCCAAAAATGGAATGGGAAGACCTAGCCCTGATGTTGCCTTCTACATAGCACTGTTTAATCTTTCCACTGCTCTATGACCTCACAGACTTATACTCACCAATTCAACAGGCCCTGATAAGATATGGTAAGAAAATAAATCAGAGCCTTTTGCACTTTTTTCCTTTTTCACATTTACAGAGAAAATATCCTTGATCAAGAAGTCAGAAGACCAGAATCCTAGTCTGTGGTCTACTCTGGCTTACAATGAAATCCCTGGCAGCAACAAGAAGTGGTTAGGTACAAGGTACTTCAATCAGCAGGTCCAAATTTGAATGCCAGATCCACCCATCGCTATGTGCTCTGAGAACCTAGGCCAGTCGCGTCACCTCTCTAGGCCTCAACTTCCCAACCTGAGAGGCAGAGAAACCACTGTTCTGTTCAGAATATTGTTGGAAGAATTAAATGGCACTCCTCGGGAAGTGTCTGTCACAGGCTGCCCTTAGTGAGTGTCCAGCAAATGTCACATGTCATCACTGCTTCATTTCTCTGAGCCTCCATGTCCTCTAAGGGTTGCCAGAAGTATCTGAGGAAATCATTAAAACGGAATGTGTTTTATAAACTACCAAGCCTCCTCCACGTGTAAAGTATTAATGTTTCCACTCAAAACAGGTAGGGCCTTGGTACAGCTGAGCCTGTCTCAACTTCCCATTGCTGCAGCTTATGAAACATGCTAACATACTCACAGTAACTGTGCTTGAGGTCCTTTCTCACTGCTGAGATTTTATTTGTAGGGCACTGTTTTAACAAATGATGATGATCATGATAAATTTTGTCAGTTATCCCAAGAATGTTTTTCAGAGCATTGTCACACCTAAGGTAAAGCTGGAGGATGAGGGTGAAGTCCTGATATTCTCACTCCTCCCTGGTGCCTCCCCACACCCCCAACCCTGTCACTTTCTTTTCTCAGCAGGTTTCAAAATGCCTTCTGTCTAATGTCTTCCTGGGGCTCCACCAGTCTCTGTTACTATAAAAAGCGAACTATGATACTCATTGAAATGAAAATGGGGTAATTAGCATGCAGCATTCAAACTTTAAAGAATGTATGAAAATTTAAAGATAAGGCAAATGACGCTAAACAGAAAGGAATCTATTTTCTATGTCATCAGAAATGTGAGGGTAAAAATTATGACAGCCTACTCTTGGATGCACTGTCAGATTACAGAGAGAGCGCTTTTCTGGAAAGATGTTTCATTGACATCCATCCTGCATGGAGTACACGGAGAAAATGGAATTCAGTGAAAACAAAGGGAATCTGTCTCCAACTAGCATCAGTCAATGAAAATTCCACATAATCTCAAAAGAGATACCATATTCAAAATCAGATGCTTACTCGGGAAAGAGGCACAAAGGAGAAACATTCAATTCTAGTCGTTAAATACTAGTAGGAGTAAATAAACAGCATGTTTTAGAATGCTCCTGACCTCGGGGCATTGTGATTACAAACGATCAGATGTGTGTGAAAAAAATAAATAAAACTGAGCAATAGTCAGAAATGCCTTGTGTACTTGGGCAGAATGTCACAACCATTTCTTCACCCACATTCCCAACCTTGGCTGCACAGCTCCACCAGGATTTCATCAAACTCAGTACATTCTAAGTCTTCCCTCAACACCAGCTCCTCCTGCTGACAACCCTTGCCTGCCCACTGCTGCACCGTCTGCCCACCCACAGGTCTACAGCAGCTGTCTCTTCCTCCTCAAAGCTCCCAGCATTCAGTTCTTAAGTTGTCAAGGTCCTGCCTGCAGATGGAGACAACCATTCCCTTCAACTTCCATAGTCACCACCCAGATTCCCACTCTTGGTAACCTGAACAACCACAGTATCCTTCTGACTTCTCTCCATGCTTTAGTTCTCTTCCCATCTAATCCATTATCAACTGACCATCTTCTCTGGTCACATTATTCTCCAGGCCAAATGCCTTCAAAAGCTCCCCAGAGCCTACAGAGTAAAGCCACTTCCCTGTGTCTGATCCTCAGAGCCCTCAGTGATCTGATTCCAAACCATTTGCTCAGCATTATTTCCTCCCCCGACTGAACGGCAGAGTTTTAACAGCTCCGAACTCACTGTGCCTCAAACCCTCCACAGTTCTCATCTCTGTGACTTGACTCAGTCATTTCTTCTCCAGTTGTGCTTTCCCACCAACCCAATGTGCCAAAATTATTCCTGCCTTGAAGACCGGCTCTACCGTGGATGAAGCCAGTTGTCAGCTCTCCTGCCTCTAAGCTGCACAGCATTTGGGTGCCATTCAAGGCCTATCAGTGTACCACCCCAACAAGCAGTAGCATGCAATGGGGACAAGGTACAGACTCTAGAGTCACACTACCCAGTTTCCAATCTTGATTGCAGCTTTTGTGGTGTGTGACTGGAGGCAATTACTTACCTCACTGTGCCTCTGTTTCCCTATCTGTGTAATATATATAACAACAGTATTTACTTAGCACAGAACAAGACTTGATAATTGTAAACTGTTCCTCTTATTGCTCACCTGAATCTCTGAACAAGACCACAAGATTGCCACTGATACTCCCACAACATCCTCCATATGGATGTTCAATGATGTCCAACACGTTTTGGAAAAAAATGAAGGAAGACCACCAGCTAAAGCTACCCTCAAACGTTTCTCCTCCACTCCAAACACAGAGCAATGATGCAGAAAACATTTTTTCTTTAAATAGAGCTCATACCAACCATTATGAACTTTTCTGATATTAACAAAATAAACCACAGAATAATTCTCTATGTATTTTAAACCAATGTTTCACTCATTACAGTATTTATTGAGCATCTACTGGCAATATCTGAGGTCTGGGAATACTGATGGAATGTACTGATCAGGTAAGAAACTTACCGTATTAAAACTAGGGAGCAATTATTAAGTTATGTAATATGTATAGGAAACAGCCCTTGTAAAAGATTGTGCATATAAAACATATTTATATGTTTGAGAATAGTTTCTGTAATTAGCTTTGTTGGTAGAAATAGAACGTGTTGAATGTGTAGAGTCAGAATTAGAAATGCCTGCATCAGCAAAATCATGGCTTAGGTCAGCAGAACTAGAGACAAGCAGGTGTTAAGGAAGCCATATGGTTTTGAGAAGGGGGACTGGAATGGCATTTAGAAGTTTAGGCAAAGATTATACGGGGAAAGTTTGAGCCATCAGTAAAGGTCTGACAGCCTAAGAAATTCTAGGCAATACCTTTTGCCTTGGTGGAAATTCCACTGTCCTGGGGTCAACCTGGATAAATAAACCAGGAGGCCAAGACTTCATGTTACCTCTTTCTCCTACCTGCTACCAAAGAAAGGCAAGTTGCCCAAAGGGATTAACATAAGAAATCAATAGATTAGTAGCAGAACAGATCTGCCTTCCAATCAAGATCTTACAGCGAAGATACGTCCAAAGACCCCTAACTCTCTCCTAAGGACCAGTCAAGAAAATAGTAAGCAGAGTAAATATAAGAGGATCTTGGTCTATTAATCTATTTCCTTTTCTTTAATGAGATTAGCAGTGTTTCTTTCAGATACTTGATCACTAAAACTTCTACATGGAACAATATGTTCTTTGCAGAAAAAGCAAGAGTACAAGGTAAACTATGATCACATCAAACAATGTCTTATCAAATCAACCTGTATCCAAATGCATCAGACAATGCTAGTGAGTAATGCTGATTTTTGGCCAACCTTTCAGCTCACATTAGCGTATCAGTTGTAGTCCCTGGGCAATGGTTTTGGTCTTCCAAATAAGTTGAGATCATAACCTTTTTGTTGGTGTTTCCTGCCAGACAAAGAGGTGGTTGGTTTCATACTCAGCCTTTTCCAGACCACCAAAAGACTATAAGACACTAACGCAACCCAACCCACTCCATATGCAACTCCTGCCAACTCCAAATCTCCTAAAACAATAAGCTGAACAAGGCCAAGAGATGGGGTTTATGTGAGGTCCACCACCTCTGCCTGAGAATGAATCATAAAACCACTAGCACTCCATTCCCCAGCCTCACGCTGCCTAGCCCCAACCTACTCAAACTGTGCATAATGAAAACGAAATCAGGAACACACTGAACTTAAAACCTCAAGTACATTTTAAATATTGTTTTAGATTCATCTATATTAACAGAGGTCAGGCAACTTCTTTATTCAAGCTCAGTTATTCTTACTGGTTTAATAACAAAAGTGGTCAGACACATTTTTCTACTAAAAAAAAAAAAAAAAAAAATACCCTGACAAAGAAGTACATTCTAAAACTCAGCAGAGAATGTGGAAATAGCCTGCAATAAACTTTGCCTTACAAAATAACTAATGAAGGAAATAACCAGTTGTTTGGCAATGGGAAACAACGATTTATCTATTTTTACATATTTTGCAGGTCATTAATTAAAAGTACTTTTTTATTTTCTAGCATAGCATTTTTCAAAAATGTCTTACAAAGAGCACCAGTGCAACAAGAGGAAAGCAAGTCATGTACTTTCGAGAAGCTCTGCCTTCTCTGGTCCCCTTCTTAGAAATGACTAATGCATATCTGCATATTAAAGACTGAAACTGAGACTCTGTGGAATCCCTCATTTCCCCAAGTTCACTTGGCACTGCAGCCCTTTTTCTCTCATAACACATATCAACAGCTCACAAAATGTCTGTTCTACCAAGCACAATTTGGGAAAAATTTCTTTTAGAATAGGGTTATAGGCCAGGAGTAGTGGCTCAGACCTGTAATCCCAGCACTTTGGGAGGCTGAGGTGGGCAGATCGCTTAAGCTCAGAAAACTAGCCTGGGCAACATGGTGCAACCCCATCTTTACCAAAAACACACAAAAAATAGCCAGGCATGGTGGCACATGCCTGTAGTACCAGTTATTCAAGAGTCTGAGGTGGAGGATCACTGGAAGCCTGGGAAGTAGAGGTTGCAGTAAGCCAAGACCGTGCCACTGTACTCCAACCTGGGTGACAGAGTGAGACCCCCATCTCAAAAAAAAAAAAAGAAAAGAAAGAAAGAAAAGAAAAGAAAAGAAATGGAACATAATAAAATGGTTTAAGAGCTGTGACTCCAGAGTCAGCCTGATTCAAATACCTAGCTTCACCATGTCAGCAGTGTAACACTGGGTTTGTCCCTCAGTTCCCTCAGGTAAGATGGGCAAAGTAACAGCACCTACCTTCTAGGCCACGGGCCTTTCATCTGAGTGGAATAGTCTTCTGCGATCCTCACATGGCTGGTTCCCTGACAACCCAATATAAAATTAGCCCCACCCAGATCGCTAGTGCTTCACTCTCTTCTTTTCTTCATGACATGCCTCTATTTAGCCGTAAAATTGTCATCTATTTTATTCCAATAGAATGTAAGCACCATGAAGGTAAGTTTTATTAATTATTGCTATGTCCCAAAACAGATCTTCAATAAGTATTCATCCAACAAAGGAATGGATGGATGGATGGATGGATGGATGGATGGATGGATGAATGGATGGATGAGATGACTCAATGTAAAGCACTCTTCATGATGCCTGGCACATAAGCTGACACTTACAAATACTATTTTGAAAATTTTTGAGGAACTATGAGTAGTTAATACATGCATAATCATAATTCTCCCAGTAAGTAATATTCTGATTCCACAGTGCATTTTCTTGCTGTACTAGAAGTAAACATTTCATAACATTCATTCAGAGGTGTGCTAGTAAATAGGCTTTCAGGAATAGGCAAGGGAATAGGGAAGGTAGGCCATAAGAGTAGCATCTTCCAATTTCCATGGTGTAAATACACCAAATATGACCAATTTCAGGCTATCTGTGGTTTAACACCAGAATCATGAGATTTCTAAGAATTTAACAAATGGCTCTCACAAAGCAGTACAACCATTCTCTTGGGAATGATCCTTTCAGAACTTCAAGACTTGTTTGTTGAGTTCAAGTTTAACATGGTTTTTTTTAAGTACAGTTATATTTTCCAAATTCTGCCCTTCTTGATGAGCTAAAATAAGGGTCACCTACTCACTTTGGTCTGATGCTAAAGGAAACTAGTTGAATGCATTGGGATGCACTTTCTGTGCCCCCTCTTTGTGCTTTCAAACTGGTGTTTAAGGATCTAAACATGATCTATATCCACACCAGACCATTGTGAGGACCAGCCAATCTCAGAAAACCCAAGAGTAATTATGTTAAAATTCATTTAAATGGAGGCAGCCAAATAAGGCACCATCTAGTAAGTGCTATCAACAAGCAGAATCTAACTGCAGAAGAATGACGTCACCCTGACCACAAAATCCCAACAAGGAGGGAAAGATGGTGCTGCAGATGGAGATTTCTCTGCCATCACAGCCTTGCTGCCCCTTAGCATCAAAATAAAACAGTAGCTTTTTCCAACTACAGTGATCCTCTATCAACTGCAGTTTTGAGATAACACAAGAAGAGTTCAAAATCTACAGTTAATCTACATGCAAATAACAACATGCCAGTAATTACTGCTTCTCTTCTGTAAACTACATAAGAGGTCTATGAATAAGACATGGAGAAAATTACTTTCTGCCCTACTGTATTTGTTATCTATTGCTGCGTAACAAATTACTTCAAAATTCAGCAGCTTAAAACAATACACATTTATTATCTCACAGTTTCTGTGGGTCAGGAATCCAGGCACAGCTTAAGTGGGTACTCTGCTTCACAGTCTCTCACAGCCTGCAATCAACACATCAGCCCAGGACCCGTTATCTCACCTGAAGTTTGGACTGGGGAAGTATCCACTTCCAAACTCACTAAATGGTTGTTACCAGTTTTCCATTCTTTGTGGTTGTTGAAATGAGTACCTCTGTTCTTTACTGGGTGTTGGCTGGAGGCCACCCTCAGCTCCTTACCACATGGGCCTCTCCACATGGCAGCTTGCTTCATCAAAGCATGCAAGCTAAGAAGCAATAGAGTCTGCTAGGAAGATGGAAGTCACGGTCTTATGTAACCTAATCATGGAAGCAACATGATATCCCATTACTTTTGCCATATTCTATTATTTAGGAGCAAATTATGAGAATCAACGAACACTCAAAGAAAGAGGATTATATAAGGGTGTGAATTCCAAGCGGTAGGGATCACTGGAGGCCATCTTGGAATTCTGCTTACCACATTCACCCTCTTGGAAGATGGATGGAAAGACCAGGCCCAACCAAACATCTCTTTAAGCATTTTAATATGAAACCAAGCCATGTGGTTTCCCAAGCATGTTGCTAAAATATCATTAAAACAAAACAAGGAAGAATAAGTGTAGAGGATATTAAATTTGCAGACACAAAAGCCTGCTCATATGTTCTAGGCAAATATAATCTACATCAGAGCAAATTCTTGGGAGCATCTGCATTTTCGCAAATCCCAAGACGGAAGCAATGTCTTCTGACCAACCAAACAAATGACTCACAAGAAGCACTGCCATCTGAACAGGTATAATGCCAAGAAATCTAGTTTGATCTAGAAGCAAATATCTTCTGGAATTTTTGTTTATCACTATAGAATAGTTTGAAAACATATATAATGTCATTTTATTGCTTGCTGTTTTCTCTGTGATCCATGTTACCCTGCATGATACAGCAGTTTTGCCTGCATGATACTTTTAAGGACCATATCCACCACAGTGGCAAGGAATTACTATAAAATTTTCAAATCTTGGCATTCATCCACATTTTTTCTAAGCTCTACCCAACCACATATTCTCAGACACATGAGCATCCCAACAGTGAATGGTGGTAAAAGGCCATAGAGACCGCCTCTGAAGGACTTCAAATGATTTAATCCACTAAAGGCAAAACACAAACTCAGAAAACCTGTAATACTCTATCCTGGATGAATGTAAATGCAGACAAAAATTATCTTAACCCTAAACATTCAAAATTGGTCTGTGCATTTTATCATTCTTTTCCAGAAACACCCATATGCTTTACTTTCTGCAAATCCCATCCCTAATTCAGTAATAAAAATATTTAGGGTCATTGTGTTGCTAATCATATCCTTTAGAGGGGTGATATTTGATAAACAAATAAACTTAATAGTACCATACCTAAAAGACTTTGAAACCATAGCCACCTGTGGGAAAGCAATTGTAAACCACCTTAGAGTTGATATGTCCTGCATATGCTTGGATCCTGGATACATGTTGAATAATAATGGAATGTATGTGCAGTGAGCAAAGACTAATACAAAATTCCTGTTTAATGGTCTTAAGCTGGCAGAAATGTCATAAAGCAGATGACCAAGTGAATATTTTTAAGGATGTAGATATCTTCCAAGCTGTGAAAATAACTTGATAACATATTTTCACTTACAAATTAAGGCTTTGGGAAAATACAGTGAATGCGCTTACCTCTCTAAGATGTATGTTTTCCTTCTCTTTCTGGTCTAAAATCACTTCCAAGTGGCTGACCTGAGACTCAGCCTCTGCCATCCGCCGCGTTCGCTCATTGTCATCCTCCAAGCTTTTGGACGGCAAGCCTTTACTTTGCAACATCTCCAGAAGTTTTTTAATTGACTCATCTCGGGCATTGAGGGTCTGTTTCTGCGTTTCAATTCTCAGCTCCATTTCCTCTAATGTCTTTCTCAAAAGGAACAGCTCCTTAGCCTGCCTGTCATGTTCAGCTTGGAGCCGCCTGAAGTTCTCCTCAGTCAGCTCGATGGTGAAGTGCTCTGCTCCTCGGTTGCCACTCTCTTGCTGAAGGAGGTGGTTGAGGTCTCTCTGGGTTCGCAGCTCATCTTGAAGGGCCTGGATTGTCAACTGTAGGTGCTGCAATGAGAAAGATGGAGTGGGGGGGGAGACAGAAGGAAAAAAAGTCAATGAAAATGTCAAGTGCCATTTGCTGCCATCACACTATGAAGATGGAATGTTAATCATGAGGTCCGGAGGGCCAGCCATGAATTCCTTCACGGTGACTTCAGAAGCATGGGACAGCACATGGAGAGGGGTAGATTAATTCAGTGATGCTTTCTGAATGTCTTAGGAGAAGAGAAATGCACACAGACACAGAAACAATAGATTAGTGTCAATCACAAGGGAAATTATACATCTACAGCGTTTTAATTTAGGAAGTGGAAAAGGTTAGAGGGAAACTTTCACAAACACACCTTTTTTATGCCCAGAACGCTCCAGACTCAGTATTCCTTGTTTCCTAAGGTATTCTTTATTGTACTATCCATTATTTTCCATGATCAATGTGTGTTGATTTAAAAATGAAAATAATAGCATCCACTACAAGTAGACACAAACAAGGACTTTATTTTTTACAAATAAAGCTGTGAACAGGTTTAGTAAACAGGATTACTGCATCTGCAAGCAAAAGGGAATAAATGCAGGCACAGACAAACACACTCAAACACGCAAGGAAGTGAGGCTGTGCAGAGCAGAACAAACAAGCTGCAGAGAGTGGACAAACCTTGGTTCTTCTGGCATCCAGTAACTGAACAGCATGGGAAATGAAAACAAAATGAAGCAAAAAATCAACACAAAGAAAAGTTCAGTGCAAGCAAAGGATATTTAACATAAAGAACTTAATCAACATAAAGTACCTTCACAGAAGAAAGAAGAAAAAAAAAAAAGAAAAAAAATTCTAATTACAGCAAAGACCCATAAGCTACACAGAATTTATAGCATTGACATTTGATAGACATGAAAAAAAAAAGAAAGACCAAATGTGAGTTTATTTCACTTTTGTTTTCCTAAATCTCACTGACCCAGAAACCCAAAGTCTTGAACATATTACCAGAGAGGGAAGCACCTGTTATTTTGGGTCACCATTTTAAGCAAAGTCGAGTGAAAGCACCAGAGAAAGAAAACAGTTATCAGATGTGAGAAAAGCACCCGTGCTTGAAGATAGTTGGCGAATTCAGCAATACCTTTCCCCGTAGGACAAACCCCCCAGCCTGGTCAGAGGAGGCAGCCACAAGCCTTAAGTCATTTCTATCCCTATGGACAAGCCAAGAGGCTTCTAAGACAGCAGCTATTTATTCACCAAACATGTGATCCTGCTTGTGGAATGAACACAATGCTAAGCACAGGAATCAAGAGGGACATAAGACATAGCTCCTCCCACAGGGAACTCACAGTATTGTAAGGCATGGGTAATACTATACCTAAGTTATATGAATATTGGAGCAGTCAATATTTTGAAATCTTTCTGAATTCCTATAGCTGACACTCAGAGGTACTAAGATCTTTCTGAGTGTGGCCTACACCCAGAAACTAGCACTGGGTGATGCACTATCTCGATTATATTTTTTTTCTGGGTATCCAATTCATATTCCCAATTATGAATGTCCATTGATAAATTCTTAGAGCATAGGGAACACATACTCTCTTCCTCATCTGTATACTACAGCGCCTCACAGGGTATTGAATGCAGAGAAAGAAACTGATACATACTTAATGATGGAGATTATACATTTTTAATACAATACTCCTCTGTAAAGTGTAACACACAAAGTTGTGCAATCATCAACACAATAAATTTTTGAACATTACCTCAAAAAGATACCTCATGCCCTTTAGCAGTCACTTCCCATCTACCTCCCTATCCTCTGGCCCTGGTAACCACTAATTTACTTTCTGTCTTTATGTCTAATCTGGACCTTTCATATCAATGATATCACTCAATAAGTGGTTTCTTTCACTTAGCATGTTTCCAAGGCTTATCTATGTGGTAGTATGTATCTGTACTTCTTTCCTTTTTATGGCTGAATAATATTCCATTGAATGAATATAACGTATTTTACGTATCCATTTATCAGTTAACTCATACATAAATATTCACAGCAGCAACATTTATTTTAGTCAAAAAGTGTTAACAATCCATTTGTCAAATCAAGTGATGAATGGGTAAATAAAATCTAGTATATCAATTTAATGGAATACTATTCAGCTATAAAAAGGAAGGAAGTGCTGACATACAGGACAACATGGATAACCCTGATAACATTATGCCATGAGAAAGAAACCAGTCACAAAAGACTACATATTTTATGATTCCACTGATGAAATATCCAGAATAAACATATTCATAGACAGAAAATAAATAATTGATTGCTGGGGGGATGTGGAGAGAATTGGGGGACTCTAAAGGATGTGGGGTATCTTCTGAGATGATAGAATGTTCTCAAGTTAGATAGGGGTCTCTGCTGCACCACTTTTTGACTATACTAAAACCAATGAATTTCACACTGTAAATGAGTGAATTGTATGGTACATAAAGTATATATCAACAAAGCTGTCACAAAAAACATGAGGTGGGACTATAAAGTAATCTAACCTTCCTCCACCAGCCTGCTATCCTTAAACCACATTAGAACAGAGTCCACAGGAGTATCTGTAGCCTTCAGCCCAGGGATGCAGCTGCGGACAAGGCTCTTGAAAGAGTGCTTTGGCAACTGCCTTTGAGTCATTTTGTATATATGTATATATACATATACATACATATATTATTTTTTTTTTGAGATAGGATCTCACTCTGTCCCCCAGGCTAGAATGGCATGTGGCATGATCTCAGCTCACTGTAACCTCCACTTCCTGGGTTCAAGTGATTCTCCCACCTCAGCCTCCCAAGTAGCTGGGACTACAGGTACACTCCACCACACTCAGCTAATTTCTGTATTTTTTGTAGAGATGACGTATCACCATGTTGCCCAGGCGGGTCTCGAACTCCTGAGCTCAAGTGATCCACCTTCCTCGGCCACCCAACGTGCTGGGACTACAGTTGTGAGCCACTGTGTCCAGCTGTCATTTAAATATTCTTGATCATGGCAAAGATTTGTCCTTTGAAGGTGGCTTGGATTTCTGAGATGATCTAAGTTTATCTGCAGTCAAACATCATGAATTGGGATGGTCACAAAGGAAATGATCTTTTCTGAGAGTGACCAAAAATGAGATTGGTTTTCTTACAATTCATAAACCAGCCAGAAGGGAATTCCAAAGAAAAACTGCCAAATGCTTTAAGCAGAAACAGCAACAATGGACGGACACGTCTGAGAGGGAGCTGCTCCTTCGAATGGATACACTGCCTATGGCCCTGATCCTTCGTCCACACATCTACGCAATGGGGGTCATCATAATGTCTACCATAGGGTTCCTGTGAGCAATAATGAAGATAAGGTGGCAAGTGCCAGGTTTGAGAGCAACGAGAGGGAGGAAGGATAATAGAAATGAAGGAAGATTAGAAGGAAGAAAAGCAGGAAAGAAGAAAGGGAGGAAAGAAAAATGGAGGGAAATTTGGTCTATTTATCCATTTAATATACGGTTACCGAGTATCTCCCTCATACTCTTGAAATACGGAGAGAAAAAGAAGAAGAAAATAGTCCACATTCACAGTCCATGTGGACAAGTAAACCAATAGTAACACTATGTCATAAGGGTTACAACAGAAATCATAGCCAGGTAGCTAGAAGTGCAGAGAGAAGGGAACTCCAGCTAGGGGCATGTAGGGAAACATCTCAAAATAAGTGGAAATGTGTCTTATTTGAAGGGTAAATGACAGGCATTCCTGTGAAGAATGATGAAAAGAGAAGAGAAGCTGTAAAAGCCAAGAGGTAAAGACAGGCCATATCTATTAAGAGACAGTAAAAGCAAAAATCTATATATTATTTATAATACCAAATGCCATGCATAGTCCTAAGGTGTTTTAATCCTCAGAACTACCCTAAAAGGTAGCAACAGTTACGATCTCCACTTAATGCATAAGAAAATGGGAACACAAAGTACTTAAGTAACCTGCTCACAGTCACCCAGCTAGGTAAGTGGTACAGCCACAGGTGTTCATCCAGACACTTTGAGCTCAATGCCCATGTTCAAACCATGACATCACTGGCCTCTGAAATGGCACAAATACTTTAAGATAGTTGGAAAAAAGAACAGGGAGGCGAGAGGTAGTAAAAGCAGACAGGTAGGCATTTATATCAGATACAGAAATTCTCAAAAATAAGAATTAGCCATCTTGGCTGGGCATGGTGGATCATACCTGTAATCCCAGCACTTTTGGAGATCAAGATGGGAGGATCGCTTGAGGCCAGGAGCTCAAGACCAACCTGGGCAATGTAGCGAGAACCCATATCTATTTAAAAAGAAAGAATTAGCCATCCTAACGAGGAACAGCCTGGTTATGACCGGTGCTTGCAGGCTGTACATTTATTAAGAAGCAAAATCTATATTTCAGGTAGTCGCATTATTAGTTACTAAATGACTTCAGCATGACAAAGCAGTCTCATAATCAGCATAAAATTTAGTGTTCAAAATTTTCTCTAATCCATGTTTATATCTAGTTTTCATTTTCTTTTAAGATATTCAAAATCATATAGGAATCTTGTTCCTACAAAAGCGATTTTTCAGGAAAATACATAACTTGTAGATCCTTGATCAACCTTCTGCTTTATATACTTGAAGACAGGGAGGGGATATTAAGTAATCTTACCCATCCTTCCATTCCCCTCCTCCCTACCCCTCCCACTCTCTTCTTTCTCATTGTTCTACTTTTTAGCAATTCAACTCAATCAAGTTTCAAAAATCATTTACCAAGCTGGGCACAGAGGCATATGCCTATAGACCCAGCTACTTGGGAGGCTGAGGCAGGAGGATCACTTGAGCCCAGGAGTTCAAGACCAGCCTAGGCAACATGGGGAGACTCCATCTCTTAAAAAAAAAAAAATCATTTACCAGATTTTCACCTCCAGTTACATATTTAAAATAGACAATTTCAATTATAAAATACAGTAAGAGCAATAATCCATAGAAATTGATGGCCTTTC